ACTCCTAATATTCTGTGATTCTGTGTAATTCAAGAATTCCCATGTTTCTTCCCCACAATAATATATTATTGGGGTTTTTTTACTTCATATTTTTTCCATTACTAGATTTTATCATCTTAATGTTAGATGGCAATAATTACTTGGGTTTAAGACCAGTTCAAAGAGAGGGATCATAAAATATCCCTCAACATAAACTGAAAATTTACAGTGTCTGGCCCTGTACTCAGTAACAACAGCCTCCTCATCAAATGGGGAATATTTTAATAAAGTACATATTTGAACCTTAACTTTCAAATGTTTCTTCATTTCACCAGTCTTTGGGCTTCACTCTTGATTACCTGAGTTAATAAAATTAGGAAAAAGGGAGAATAATTTTGAAGTGCCTTTCAAGTTCACTTTGCAGGTAAACAGGCATTTGACATTTTCTCACAGTATTTTCACATATTCCTGCACATTTGACATGTCAAATAAAAAGGAGGCTGGGCAGAGGTGTGAGAGTTTGGTTTCATCATCTGAAGCTACTCCTTGCATTGTTTAGTTGAGGGTTCAGCTTCAATCATATATGCCGAGGCAACTGTGTTAAACCTCAGTTTAACAGATGTAAGAACAGAAACGTAACATCCACCAGAAACGTGAGAACAATTTCCATCTTTTTCTTTTTTATTTAACCACATAAGTACATGTCAACAGTTGGCATAAACTTCATAAAAATACAGTACCTTTTTGTGCTGTAACACTAGTCACAATGTTTATATAAAGATTTTTTCCTGCTTCCTTGAATTCAATTAACATTTTAAAAAGTGACTTCCCAAAAGCCCTTTTTGTGAGTTTCCTTATAGAAATTTTTCCAAAATCTATTCTGTAAAAGTTAAAAAGCTAATGCATTTTCAGCCATTCTCCCTCACCCTCTCAATAAAACAGATTTTAAAAAAATAAGTAGTCTTAGAATACTGATCAGTTGTTACGCTACTGCTTTCTCATAGATTCTCCTTTAATTTATACTGTTATAGATGTGACAGATGCTGTTCCTATAGCATCTAATATTGCCAGATGCTATTAGGGCTAAAAGGACCAGTCACATCAGTAAGACTGATGTTTGAACAACAACAAGAAAATCCAGAAAAAAGCCAAACCAAAACCAGAACATGAACAATATACAAAGAAACAGACTTTAGAAGTCTTATACTGTGGAATCACAATTACTGTGATACTTCCCAATGGCAATAAACACACAAAAATTCTATCAAGTCAGTTAAATGACTAAAGGGTGTCCTTGCACTGGGTATCTTGGAAAGTGAATCCTCTGAGTTTATAATCTATAATATTAGTGTGACACTGAGATAACAGAAAAACTGCAGAACCAGTCTAATAGTTTTGGAGCAATTATACCCACACAACTGACTACACCCATATCACAATTGGGTTAAATTCCATTTTTCTTTAATGCTAATGATAAAATCCAGGCAGGATCTAATACCTGGGCAAAGGAAATAGGGCATACATTTTGAAAGTAATTTCTTATCAAGTTAGGCGCTGAAGGTCTAGTTAAGGCAGTGAAGGATTGATTTTAGTATCTTTCTAAGGCTATGACAGATTTTTCCTGAATAAAGCATTTTCCCTTAAAAATTTTATGTATATTATGCCAGCTTATTCTGAATGCACAAGAATGCTAAAAATCCTTGGACGCTGAGAAGCTAAACTATTGCTCACTGCAAATATTACCCTTATTAATCTTATTTTTTAATATCAGTAAGATTCCAAGAACATGCATCTATATAATGAAGTTTCAAGTCTGCCTACAAACTTTTCCATTTAAAAAGCAAGCTTAAAAGCATGTGTTAAGTGATCCAAAATGACAACTGTTTTTAATCCTCTCAAAGAAAAAAAAAAAAAGTATCTCTCTCAGACAGGAATTTTTAGTATCACCTTGTCCAGAAGGGAGATGGGTAATGAAAGTGACATGAGAAATGTGATGCCAGATGCTATAGCACCATTCCTTTGTTCCTAGCTGCTAGCACCAAAGCTTTAAACAAACTTGCTTTGCTAAGACATTCTGACAGTCCCATTTCACAACATCATTGGTTTTGAGAATGGAGTTAAATTCCACAGCTACTTTTAACTCTTTTTGGATCAGTGTTAAATAAAATGTGCAAACATATAATCATTTGCATAGCAAATCTCAAGGGACTGACCCTGAAATAGAAATCCAAACTGTCAGGTTTAAGATATTTCTATAATCAGAATTCACTTAAAATGGTAAAAAATAAAATAGACATTTTTCCATTTTAAGTCCACTAGAAAAGGTATTTCTGATTTAGAATTCTTACAGTTACTAGTTTAAAAAGTTGAAAGACTGATGATTCTTTGCATTGAAATGTTATTCCTTTGGAATCTTCAAGACTCTGTAATTGCTATTTTCAAATACTGTGATGAAATATGGCCTGGAATCCTTGCTCATAAGGGTACATAAAGGAACTCTACCACTATTAGCAGGATCTTCGACATCCCAAATTTCAGGCATACTGCAACCAGGCCTAAAAAACATATGAAAACAGAAAGAGAAATTAAGAAATGCCATCAAAAAAACCCTACAGCTTGTTCAACAGTTTTATAAACCCCTCCATGAATACTTGATTGTGCCTTCTGGATTTTGTTTTTGAGTCTGTTTTTATACTAGAAATCCTTATCAGATTACAAAAAAAAATAATCAATAAACATAGCAGTAATTAAAAAAATAGTATTTAGAATGTAGAAAATTTGTCAGCTTACATGCTATGAAGTAACAATTAATTTGAAGGAGGAAGCACGTAAAGAAACTCAAATAATACAATATATTTTACTAGGGACCCTTTAAAATTTCTATTAAATGAAGGGCAATGTTCACACTATCATTTCTAAAGAAAACTCAGGAAACAAAAAACAAAAAAGTAGTAACTCCTTGCTTTTTTATGGCACATAACCAACATCAATTCCCTGTACAGTTATCTTTCAAAGTTAGAATTACTGAAAATTTCCTAATTTTGTCAAAGATAATAGAGAAGAAATAGAACAGAATTTAATTTTCTTCTAAATGCAAGGAAAATAAATTTGAAAATCCATACGAATCATGTTCTAAAAGGCCTAAAAGAGAAACTGGGAGGGGGGAATGAAGCACCATAGCTTTTACTTATGGACAGTTTAAATGTGACAAAATTTTCAGTGACCAGCAATGGTTATAATATTTCAGAGCTCAAACTACCTTTTAACTCATCATCTTTTTAGTCATACCAGGCTTTCATTACTCACACATGTTCTTGCCATCACAGAATAATGACTTGTTTCCTTCATGAATCTCTTCTGTATTTTACAGCAAAGTTCAAAAATACATACAACACAGCTTTTCAGGTGCACTCAAAGACCACAGGGTTGCTAATCTGGGTAAAGTTAATTATACTTACTAGTATCTGGAGAAGCCAGACAAAAATGTATTGTGGAAACTTGTAATAAAACACAGATCAACACTGCAAAACTACTGTTTGATATGAATCTTAAAGACTAGGTATTTGAGTGGCACATCATTCTTGTGAGAAAGAGAGAGGTTACTCACTTTTTTCTGCTTACACACAACGATTCTTCCAGAATGTAGTATTTCACTCCTAGTTTTAGCAATTCTCTTTTTACTTCTTTTGCAGGTTTTCGACTGTACATGGAATACACTACTTTAGTTCTGGCCCTTCAAAAAGTGAAATAACATAAAAGTTAGCTAGCAACATAGCATGAAAATGTAAGCTTTAACTTCAGACAACTAGCTTAAAGTTTTAATTAATAGTGCGATTGCTTTAATGTGATTATTTCTTCACAAATACAGTAATTCCAAGAACAACATATACAGCTGTTTGATTTTCCTGTAGCAGGAGACAACCTTGTAACAAGATCCATGCTTACTTGTGAACAGAAAATGAAAGATGTCAAAGGAATGCATTCAATGTACAGTATTCAAGGCTATAATCAAACTTGCTTGGACTGGAGGTTACCAAAAGGAATCTTCTGCCCAGTCCCCCCGCAGAAGTATCATAACTCATTGGCCTTGTTCGGACTTTAAATACTGAGTGCAAGACATGACGTCTGCCTATGCTGAATCAAGCAAAATCATCACTTGTAAACCATGGTCCTGATTATATTACTCAATAATATCCTCCTTTAATTATGCAAAGCATGATGATGTTAATTCCTGTTCATTTTCTGATATCGTATCATCTCTAGCTTATTTTCCTCAAACATGCCTTGTCCTCTATTTTTGTAGTTATTACCAGACACAGAATTAAGGACATAAGGCATGTAAAATGAATTCCGATCCTCTTCCTCCTTTATCCCTTTTTATCTTCTTGTTTACTTGTTGTGTTTTTGTTTTGGTTTGGGTTTTTTTTAATCAGTTTTACCAAACTGCCAAAAAATGATGCTATTCTAAGTCATTAAAATTAAAATGGAAATTAATGACCTTTTCAGATATATCAAATTCAACTTAGAAAAATACCCTAGTTTTGAAAATAACAAAGAATATTCAGTAACTCCATTATAAAATTTCCAACCAGACTTAGTATTTCAATAATTAGGCATATTATAATGAAAAAAAAATTGCATCCAATCACAGAAAGCTAATAGGAATAACTAAAGTGGCTATCTTGAGAAAAAAAGTCAAGTCTATCTACAATATCAGGAGGAAACAGAATGAAGAAAGAATATAACAGTACATGTTAATTTAAATTCTGTAATTGTGCTCTGATAATTTTGTCTCTAAGTTTGAAGCCATATCTATCCTACAGTTTATCCTGTCTGATGAACACAAATCCCAAAGAAATACTGCATGTGTTTTTAATCTAAGATAATCAAGTTCTACAGGGTTTTAAGAAATTTTACTATATGTGATGCAATTCCTACGGTATGTTAGCAACATTAAGAGTATTAACAGGAAGTAAAAATCAATTCTTAACTTTGAAATTTACCTTAATCCTGCATCTTCATAGTGAGGATGATTTACAATAGGACGAAGCGTAGACAACTTCACACTTGCCATTGTAGGCATTGCTCCTGCAAAAACTGCATCTGAAATACAGAATGAAAGGTGTGCTTGAAATTAAGAATCAAGTAGTAAAAGCAGAGAAGCAGGCTTCAAATATCTACACAGTATTCCTGTAGAAAAACAATGTGTAAAGAGGGAAAGGTACCTTTGTTGAAAAGACTACATTACACCAATAGGAGATGCACAAAAATCACACTATGTTTTTTGTTTTTAAAAAAAACCTTGAATTCAATATAAGTCATTAGGTAACTAAACATCTAAGAATAGAGATTTAATACATTTTCTTTTTCTTGAATGGGCCGGATAACTTATTCATTGTCACAACTTTTTTTTTTTGTCATTTCTTAGACCATTGTTAAATGAACAATAACATCTCAGTCCACCTCAGCTTGAAAGTATTTTCCTGCTAAAAAGGTAATTACTTTGTTTCTAGCTAGTTTTCTGACATTTCTACTCACTTTAATAAAAGGATAGGAGCAATGACAACACATCAATTTTGAATTATCTTCTAGCAAAACGATGATCGTGGACTCACATACAGGAACAGTGTCACGTAAGCAAAAAACTGCTTTAATTCAACTTCGCAAAACTCCTTTGGTTACAGAAATACACCACCAGCGGCTAGAACCTCCAGACTGGTAGCCTGGAATCTAGTAACACGAGCTTTCCGCTTTTTCTCATTTGAGACAGCTTCTATATGGACAAGTATATGTGACTAAACAATGAATGTAAAGTAGTCTCACAGCAAAGCCACAGACAGTTGCCATACCTCTGCAGTGATTCACACCAAGTTCTACAGTTACATTCTCATAGTAAATGAGGAACATCATACGTTATTAAACAGATTACCTTGTCTGGTATTGACTTTTATCCACTCTAAAAGTTCCTCCTGTGGCAAATTGCTAAATTCTCCCATGATGTTCCACTGAGTCTTAAGGTTTGCTGAACCTTCTATTGCCATCAATGCTAAAATAGCAAAGACCAATGTTTTGGGCTGGATTTTAGAGAAGAGCCATCCAAACAACTGAAATGCAAGAATGATTAATTTCTAGACAACAATTCTGTAATGTTGTATGAAGCACAATTCAATTTTACTTCTCTATAAGGAACCTAACATATATTACAATACGAAACAACTCTGCTATTGCTTCACCACTAAACTTCAGTGAGACCTTGTAAGAATTCATGTTTACCAAAGTAGGGCATTATATTTGTAATTCTACCAAAAAAACACCCCAAAACAATGAAACAAGAAAAAAACCCCAAACAAAAGATATCAATGCAGCTTTTAAAGGTGTAAGTTCAAATGCCAAATTCTCCAAGTAAAGATGATTCAATAATGTTAATGGCACTTTTTCAGTATTTTATCTCCTAATTACACCAAGAGCTTCTAGCTGCAATATATGGATTAGTGATTGCACTGTGAACTTCCAAAAACATTGGAAAAAGCAAACTTTGGTGATATAAGGTTAATATTACTTGATATCCTACTCTTCCCTTTCTTGAACTGAAAAAGATGGCACTCACATTTTTTCCTAAAGAATGTCTGCTGAAGACTAAACAAATACACATAAATATGCAAAATAGGTCGTTAAGAAGTACCAAATTTGCTATGCGCAAGTTTAGTCTGAGCAAGAACACTTTCTCATTCATATCTGACCTAAGCATTCAAGAAGACAAAGCAGGAATTACTTTTTTTTAAAAAGCTATTGTTAATTAAAAGTAAAGCTTCATGTTTCAGAAATATCAAACCTGCACTAAATAAATACATTTCACTTAGAGTATCTTAATCAATTTTTTTAATTAAAGCACGAAATGATAAAATAAAGTTTCACAGTAAAGTCTCCCACTAGGCTGACTACACCAATCAGGTAGTATAGATTCTCTTTATTATAAACTAACTGTAAACTACTTTAGATTATTAAAACTCTCAAGCCATCTCTCCAAAAATACAGTATACTCTACTCATCCTCAAATACTTGCTAAACGCTCTAGCAAGATCAGCAATACTATCCAGGCAAACAATATACCACATAAGCCTGACCACTGTGTAGGTCTGGAAGGATGAGGGGAAAGAAATTCATCTGCATGCTGCTCTATATGAGCAAACCTCCAATTTTACCAACAGTTGCAAAAAATCTCACTTCAAGAACATGTTAGAAAATTTGAATTCTTTATTTGGGTCCATGCTTTTTCAAATAAAAGAAAAACTGCATTCCTATCATGCTTTTATAAAAATCTCATTGATGCTCAAAGAATCAAAATTTACCACTATTTTGTTTACATTAAGAGTCTAGAATTGTCGAAAATATACGCAATCCAAAAGAAGCATTTCTTTTACAGGATGCTGCTCCTCATGTGGTTTCTATATCAATTCATAGATTTTTATTTGTTTTTTGTCAAATAAGTATGTTAAGCTTTTCTCCAGCTATATTTCTTTGCTTTCAAAATTTCCACTGAGGATAGTATAATTCCTCCGAACAGAGAGGAAGTGTGTGGATGTAAACATTTATTTTTATTGTTCCTCAGGTGCCACAAGCTGCAACTCTGAGATAATGGAAAGTACTCAGATACTCAGATTCATGCAATGGGCTGAGAGAACACAACATACAAAATTCCTTTTCCAGGTACAAAACAATTCTAGTACATTTTTTGCCTGTTTGTTTGGTTCTGGTTCATGTTACAAATATCCATCTCAAGCTGACCTGTCATTAATAAAAGGACATACTTCGGAAGGCAGCAGATTAACATGATCTCTATCTATAGTGTCAAAATAAATAAATGATACTAACATACCACTGCAGGTCAACTTTCATAGTAAGCTAGAGGAAAAGACAGTGCTGACCTCAATTATGACGAGATAATTACATATGCTTATATTTTTCTTGCATCTGTTAAGACAAGTTGTCGCTCATCAACTCATCCTTTATGAAAACATCTAAAACTTTACATAATGGTAAGTATACCAGGTGTTAATCGATTGTTTGGTCAGAAGTCCCACTTTCCCCTGCTCATCTCCTCACAGCAATTATTGTGAATCAATATTGTACATACGGTCAGATTTTTCAAGCTCAAACTACTACTTCTGCTCAGCAGCCCCTAGGATAGAAAAAGCTCACTCAAAATCACTTGATATTTTCCTGAGCCTAAAAAAAATACAAAGTGTTCTTATCCCTTTACTTGCTTATGTCAGAGCTGTCTTAGAAGTGGTCTGATTACTAGTAGCTCAACAGCCTTACAGGTCGGTGTTTCTCTCTCAGGCTGAAGCCAGTCATGTATTACCTGGAAGATTACCAGCAGCTCCCTACTAAAGAAAGCATATATTGGTCAGACCAGGAATAACCCAGCTTATCTTTTACAAGCATCCATCAGCACCAATCTAGGCAACATGTTGAACAAGTGAAGAACCTTCGCCGATAGAAAGACAAGGGAATTATTTTTTATTTCTACTTACATTGTTCACCTAAAGTTTGGTACTCTTGAACTGTATGTACTTTTCATAAGGCCCAAGCCAGGGCCAGGATAATCACATGCCTTGTTATATGGGGCAGCTGGATATTTATAATCTTCTGCACAGAACAACTGTTTAAACTGCAGTAATCTAAAGCTTTACCTTCCCTAGCATTCAAGACCTATTTCTCTCAAGTCAACTATGCCTCCATGATGCTGCAAAGGAGGAAAAAATGGTCACTGGACCTGAGCCGTCTGGTCAGGGGCAGCTCCCAGAATAGGTTATAATCTGCATTTGTAGCTTCTCAAGAAGCTTACTCTCATTCTACAACCACAGGAAGCACAGCAGAACCAAAGGGCCAAAATTGCCAAATCTGGTGGCAATTACAGAGACATGGTGGG